AGATGTCGGAAGATGTTTGACTGGGTATAGATAGATAGATAGATAGATAAATAGATAGATAGATAGATAAATAGATAGATAGATAGATAGATAGATAGATGGATAGATAGATAGATAGGTTTTTATATATGAGCTGCGGGTGCATTCTCTATTTCATCACAGCGAAAGTCAAGGAGTGGTTGACAGGACCCAGCTGTTCCATCTACAGCTGCCACTTCCTGGCGTCATGGGTGAGTTGTTGTTACTTTTATTGTTATGATTGCTGTTGCTACTGTTGCTGCTGATGCTGCTGATGCTGCTGTTGTTGTTGTTATTGTTACTTTTGTCGTGGTTGTTGTTATGAATATGCTTTTTGTCGTCGTCGTCGTCGTTGTCGTCGTTGTCGTCGTTGTTGTTGATGTTGTTGTTGTTGTTGTAATGAGTACGCCTGTCGCTGGTGATGTGGTTGCTATGGATGTTGGTGTTGTTGACCTTTTTGTTGTATTGTTTTGTGTTGCTCTCGCTGTTAGTTATCCCAGAGCTGTGCTATATAATTATTATGTGCCCTGGTATATATCTCAAACTGTGCATCAAGAGCAGTCCTTCACTCGCTGCTGTTGTTGTTGCTGCTGTTGTTGTTGTTTATGTTGTTGTTGCTGGGGGGTGATGCTGCGGCTATTGGTGTTGTTTTATTGGTGTTCTCTCCAAACCAATATTTTTTGCGCCATTTTTCATGAACTCAGCCAACTTTCGGACTCCTGCCAAATCTCTTAGTGGCTAAGGTCATCTGTCCTTAGGCTCTTTGGTTGTTCGCTGTCTTGGAATTAAAAGCTTTTCTTTCCTCTTTTTCAGTTCTTCTTTCCTCTTTGTGCCTTCGTTCTGATTAATGATATGAGTAGTTTTATCAATGTCAAACTTCCAGTGTTCCTTAGAATGCGAAAATAAACACAAACTGTTATTACAACACAAGTCAAAGACATGGAGAAGTTTGAAAAGTTTAATGCTTTTTGTATTTATTTTACCATTTGTTTTTTGTTTCCTTTACTACCCCCCTCCCCCTTCCGGGGGGCCGTACCTCAAGGTTGTCTTAAAGGGTAGGACACGGACAGATTGCCCAGTATGGCAGTGTGTTCTATAATATACTACCTATGTTCCTCTATAATCCCCAGTCTGGTAGTTTGTTCTATAAAATTATATTCCCCACGTTGCTCTCGATTTCCCAGTTTGGCTGTACGTTTTTATACAATTGTTATTCCCTATGTTGCTCTATATTTACTAGTCTGGTTGTATGTTCTATATACTCCATACGTTGCTTTTTATTTCTCAGTCTGACTATAAGTTATATATAAATATCATTCCTTAAGTAGTTGTATGTACCCCAGTCTGGCAGTATGTTCTACAGTATACTCCCTACGTTTCTCTGTATTTCCCAGTCCGACTCTACATTTTATATGACATTCCCTACGTTTCTCGCTCTATATTTCCCAATCTGACTCTACGTTTTATATGTATTTCCTATACTACTCTATATTTCCCAGTCTGGCGGTATGTTCTATGCATTCCCTATGTTGTTCTATGTGACCCAGTCTGCCAGTATGATCCATATATTCCCTATGTTGTTCTATATTTTCCAGTCTTGCGGTATGTTCTATATACTCCCTATGTTGTTCTATATTTCCCAGTCTTGCGGTGTGTTCTATATATTCCCTATGATGTTCTATGTGACCTAGTTTGGTGGTAGGCCTAAGTTCAATACTCTCTATATTGTGTCACGACGCGGTGGAATCAGGCGCTCATCAATTTGGGGGCATACGGAATTACTGGTGGTATCACCTTAAAGCTCGTTTATTGGTCTTGCTTTAAATGAAAGAAAACCACCCATCTATCTTGAGTAGAAGTCTAGATATTTGCGATGGACGGAGGTGGGCTCGCCTGGTGTCAGAGATAAGATTACCGAGAAAAATGGCCGCCAAAGTTTGGTCCAAAGCTTGAGTGTACTGGAAACCTGCAAATTTACTTTGTGTGTGTGTGTGTGTGTGTGTGTGTGTGTGTGTGTGCGTGCGTGTGTGTGTTTGCGTGTGTGTTTGTGAGTTAGTGTGCCTGTGTGCATGTGTCTGTACGAAAGTGTATCAAAACATTTACACGTCTGTACTATATTATTATGCTCAAGATTGAGGAAATGTGTGAGATTGTATGATTGTACGAGAGAGTAAGTATGTGTGCGGTGTACGCCAATAAGCACTTGAATGTGTACGTGCTCGGGCGTGGCTATAATGTATGCACGTGTGTGAGCTGACTCAATACTCACCGATACATGCATATTATTATTTATTTCTCTTTCAATAACTGTTCTTATTTTTCCTAAATTTTGAATGTTTCTTGCACGTTGAATGAAAACTCTAACTTAATTATAATTACTATGCACGATATAGAGACCTATTTATGAGAAATCTAAATACAGAATGCTTTGTCGATTCTATAAATTAGTCTTAATCAGAAGGCTGTATATAACAATTTGGGGGGGATACAGATCGTTCCCGTTGCTCGCAGGATTTTATTCAAAATCTAAATGCACCCACGCCAAAGGAAATAATCTACAAAATGTAACAAAGTAATCAATACTTCATCATTAAGAGTTTTAGGTTACACAATTGGATATAAGAGTAAGGTTTAACCCTTCATTCGGAACTGACTTGGTCTATTATACATATCCAGGGTCTCCAGTCTCTGAGTCGCCTTGACAACAGATGAGAAAGACGAGTTTAACTTATTTGAAGGAAAAGGGGCTGAGATTTACTTGTCCCCAAAATGTGTACACTCACTGTTAGTGAAGGAGGAGGGAGTAGGCGGAGGGTAAACACTACGGGGGAGGCAGGGGGGGGGGGCGACGTAGCGATGACGTAAAAAAGGGAGGGGTTACGTAAGTAGAGACGTTTTCATTTTACTTAGCGTGTTCTCAGTGCACCTGCTTGGGAAGCATAATTAAGTTGTTACAGTGGGTCAACGGGGAAATGACTAATACAAGATCAAAGACAAAGTGACATAGTAATGAGGCCAGCGTGAAATGATCAGAAATAGGAACGTTTAGAATAAAGACTTAATGGCATCCTCAGCGACAAAAACAACGATATCGACAACGATGACGACGACGAAGACAACAACAACTACAAAAACAGCTACAACTACAACTACATCTACAACAGCAACAACAACGATAACAACAGGAACGACAACAGCCATAAAAGCAACACCAGATTCACAGGGTAATGGTGGAGAAGGAATAGTTCTATTATTATTATGTCTCCATTCAAAACTTACATGACCTACTTCACTCAATCAAGGTCCCCACTCTATGTGAGGACACATGTGGATTGCCGTGATTTCATGTGCAAAAGACACTTTAAATCTTAAAATCATTGTTAGAACTGAGGGGGGGGGGTCTAGTTGGCCTTTCCCGGCATGTAATGCAGGTACATTTAAGATATTGAGCACTATCCGTGTGGCAGTAATTAAATGAGCGCGTAACAATAATGCGAACAGCAATTATGCAGTCTAAAACTTTTGCAGGGTTAAATCGTTGTCTTTTTCAGCCATTCTTTGTGTCTTAGCGGGGAACCCATCCTTAAAATTGTGTGTGCCCAAGGAGCTTGGGACCTTCTATTTATAACCTTCTTCTACCAGCATGTACCTTAATTATTATTGTGTGCAGTAAGTAAGGAAGTCTCGTGAAACAGCTTATTGGCATACTTGAGGGTGATTAAGTGATGTTTCATAGAGGGAAAAGTGGCCGCTGTTTCAAGAATATTTGTCATGTGTTTAGTAATTGGGGGCTTGGAAGGGGGG